ATATAATAAAACAACTAGTAATTGAAATAACTTTGAATTAATCAATAAGCACATTTCTGATGAATTATTTGTAAATAATGATAATAATAAGATAGGAACCATAATTATTTCTTCTTATTATTATTATTGAAAAATAATTTATTAGTATTTAAATTACATATGAATGAAAAATCAAACTCTGATGCAATTCTAACGCAAGCAACCCTGACGCAACCCCCTTTACGAAATTCACACATAGCTACATATTTAAATATTTTCAATCAATGTTAACAAACTTTTCTTTTTGCTAAACGACGTTCACTTTTTTTTCTTTTTTTTTTTTTTAATAAAAACCTGTTCAAAGATCTACATATTTATATATCAATATATATATATATACTTTGAGAAACAAGCTAATTAGGTGTTTAATACTTGCTGATTCTGTACGCGTGGTCAGAAAAGAAAAGGAAAAATGACTTCATACTTAATTAACATAATACACATGGTAATTATCGATACTTTTTTTCAAATCGATTAATAATAAACTGATTTTCTCGTATTAGTGATTTAAACATACATAAGTCATATGTGCGTTTGCGTACACATGTGCTTGTACGTTTTATTTTTTTTTTTTGTCAAATAAAAATATGAAACAACCAACAACATATTAGTAATTATAATAAAATGAATTCACATTGATACATTTAATTTACATTTTAATTTTTTAAATAAATAAATTATTTATGCAAAATTTTATGAAATAATTCTATCAAGATTTTTGAACAATCGTTCAGACGTATATTTTTGTAATTGACGAGTCTACGAAACATTTAATCAATGCACGAATCTACGAAAAGTTCAGTCAAATTGATCATTGATGAATTTCTTCATAGCTCATTGAATTTTTGAAGTGAAAACTTCTTTAGAATGGGGATGATTTGAAAAAAGCGTACGAAAATCCATGGTAACGGGCAATGAAACGATGAAACGGTTACGTTACTAAAAAGAGAAAACGAGACAAACATATGCACATCTGTAGGATTTAGTCTAAGAGAGAATGAGATAGATGACAGTATGCATTTGTTTCTTATTATCTCGGTCTCCTCTTTGTGCGATGCTTCGTAGTCCCCACTCCTGGCTACTAAGTGTTGTATATGTGTGTGTTTGTGTGCAACTGCATACTACGAAACGTAGACTCATATTAACTCAATCCCACACATTTAAAAATATAAGTTAGTTCTTCGACTGGCCGCTAGATTATCCACGTTTCTCACAAGTAGAGCTGTTTTTTTTTTTATAATAAATAAAGCCTACAATTATCTTACTCCTGATACTCTGCATTCGACTCATTCTCTCGAAGCGAAGGTTTTAAGAAGGTTTCACTTCTAACACGTGTGATCTGCACACATGATATTTATTTGTATTTTTCTTGTTTTTTTTTTTGCAGCCACCACAACCAATGACCGCGTGGAAGGAACCGCGAGATGCAAGAAAAGATGCAGAGATATGCACACAAAGAAACATTTACACTTATCAAGAAGAAATCGTCGGATCTGAGGATTGTCTTTACCTGAACGTTTATACACCGAGATTACCTAAAACGATGGAAGACAAAAATCCACATAATAGTTTTCCTGTTATGGTTTGGTTTCATGGTGGTGGCTGGGTCACCGGTGCTGGTCATTCCGAATTTTATGGACCGAAATTCTTCCTGGATCACGATGTGATTCTCGTTACGTTGAACTTTAGGTAAAAAACAATTAAAAAAAAATAATAATAAGAGCATTTACTGATTGACCAATTTTAAAATAATAAAATTAATTTTAATCAACAACTATATAATAATTCATTTTTACGGTCGTAATTTTTATCTGAGTTAAATGATCAATTTAAATTGGTTAAAAGGTTAATTTTTTAACTAAAATGAGATTTATCATTTTTGATATGTTTATTTTTATATTTTTAGACTTGGTCCACTAGGATTTTTGAGTACGGAGGATTTGGTATGTCCCGGAAATCTTGGTTTAAAGGATCAGCTTCAAGTACTTCGTTGGATTAACGAAAATATTGTTGAATTTGGTGGTGATCCAAACAGGGTAACAATTTTTGGTGAAAGTGCTGGTGGTGCTAGCGTTCATTATCACATGATGAGTAATCTCTCGAAAGGTAAGATCGAAAACAATAATAAAAAATCTTTTATTTAATTCTACAACGGAATGTTATTGAAAAAAAAAATCGTCAATTTATTGATTTATAAAACATAAAAGTAATAAAACGAGGAAATAAAAAAAAAGAAATCAATGAATTACGTGACGTAATTTTAACGATGATTCATCAGATTCTCTCTCTCTCTCTCTCTCTTTCTCTCATTGTTTATCTATTTTTTTAAATAAACACTTGCAGACGTAAAATAAAATAATTTCAGGTGTTGTGTTAATAAACTATCTGTGTATAACATCTAAAGTATAATTAGATGATTGGTTTTTTTTTTCTTAGAACAAAGAATTAGAAAAAAAAAAGTATAAATATTCATTAACAACCTGTTAACCAGGGAATTACTTTTTTAATTAGGCATCCTTTTTATTATTATTTATTTATTATTATTTATGCAATACGTTCGACGTATTTATACTTTCCGGCTGGTTAACAGGTTAAAATCTTTTACTCACACACGAAATGTTATTTAAAAAAATTATTATATATTTTATTATATAATAAAATAAAATAAATTATAATATAATAAAATAATTATACATATATGCAATATAATAAAATAAAATTATATTATATATTATAATGTAACTAGAGGTGCTAGCGCAACGTCACGCGTTGCTGTGGTTTACAATCAGTCCGATACACACGTCTTTAAATCAACGAATTACCTTATACCGCCATCTGTTAGAATCTTATCTAACTAACAGAGATAATTATGACTCTTTGTTAATAAACAAATAATTCACAATAAATTGAGATATAAACTATCCTATCTTTCAAATTGGATGAAACTGCACTCATTGTGCAAAATTGTATTAAAATCGGTTCAGTAGTTTAAGAGTCCATTGCGGACAAACAACGTGACACGTAATTTATATATATCAAGATATAATAAAATAAAATTATATTATATTGTATTATATGTAATATAAATAAATAAATATTAAATTTATTATATTTTATTATATAATAATATATTTAAGGATAAAAGAAATACTAATTATTAAATAAATAATACATTTGTATTCATTATTATAGGTCTTTTCCATCGTGCCATATCACAAAGTGGAACAGCTCATTGTCCTTGGACTTTGACCAGAAAAGGTTCAGCTAAAGTAAAAGCTCGAAGTGTGGGACAACTTTTAAATTGTCCTACCGACAATTCCAAAGCTCTCATTGAATGTTTGAAAACTAAAGATGCCTACGATATTATTGGCACCGATCGATACTTTCAGGTAAATTTACAACAAAATCTTATTATTAAAATAATATTTTAACACTTATTTAAATGTTGATTAAATCAGATGATAGAAGAAGGGGGTGGTGAAGTTTATGCATCATAAAATTGTTTTTTTTTTTTAAAGAAATAAAGAAACAATATTCATCATTTTACCATTCTAAATTCTGAATTCTAACAAATGTCGAAAATTGAATGAACAATTTTTTAGATGATTCCGTAATATGAACAAAAAAAAAACAAAGAAATAAAACCGTTCTTGTTAATTTCAAATCAATTTCAAATGAATAGTGTGTGTGTTATATATATATATATATAAAACTAGTAAGAGAATACTTTCTAATGATCATAAGAACGTTCCTAACGAGATTATAAATCAAGTCAATGGTAAAATGTTTCATGTCTCTTGGTGTCGATTGGTTATGTTTGAATGAACGATTAAGGTGGACATTACTTGTCAAGATATCTGTTGACAATGACGACAGGGTATTATACTGTCGAAGCTATCAGAAATCTTTTTTACGGTTCAACAATTACAAGCTTTTTAATGCAATAAAGTTACGCTTAATTACGTGTTTACATGTTCACTGATATTTTGTGTTTGTATTAGTTGAATAATATAGGAATTATGTTAACTCGAAAGTGAGAACAAAATCCTTGACCAGTAGACCTAGTATTATCATTTCACTTTTTTCTTTTTCTTTCTTTTTCTATTTACTTAGGTTTGTTTTCTCTCTCTCTCTCTCTCTCCTCTCTCTCTCCTCTCTTTATGTCTCTTTATTTATGTTCTATCTGAATAATCATTATGTAAGTTGACCGAGTAAAACCTTGCCAATGAAATGTTTGCAGGAGTAATAGTAATAACATAATGCACAATGTTATGCGGATATGACACCTTGTATTACGTGTCTCGTTATGCAACTATTTCTCTATCTCTCTTTTTGTATAATTCTTTATTTTTTCTTCTCATTTTTATATCTTTTACAACTTCACGGTTTATCTTACATCAGAAATATTATATCGTACGACTCGTGTTTCATTTACTTCGTGCAATCATTGATATATAGGTATTTGAAGAACGTGATTAGGTGTTAAACGACACGTTTATCCATTATAGTTTGATTTGAAATTATTTTCAATATAATTGTTCATTTTAAATATATTAGTTATATAAATTAATGATACACAAACGAGCAATAAAGGAATAATTTTATTTGAAGAAAACAAATTCGAATTGTATCATCAATTTACAGAACTCCTTATATATAATATTTTAATAGATATTTTTATTTGCATACGATAGTTTTTGTTCAGTTTGATTCTACTTGACCATCGTATTACATAATTAAAAATATGAGTCGTTTAGTTTGAAAGTGGCTTAATTCCAGTTATGTTTGAATGAAGATATTGAACAGTTTGCGTTTCAATGCAATTATTGGGTTGTTCGGAAAGTAATTTCATTTTTTTCTAACACAATAATGGCATAAGTTGATGCTAACCGACAAATAGCAACACGTGAGATTGATGAGAGGTTAAATTTATCAAATTCAACTGTTTAGGATCATTTGAAAGGCTTAGGTTTAACCTCGAAGCAAAAATTGTCTTCATTTTCACTAGATACTAACAAGTTATACTGCTTAAGTGTATCTAAAGGTGTTCAATTTACAGTTTCTATTAAATTATTGGCAATTATATGCGTTTTCTAACCACGAATGGAATTAGGCCATTTTCAAAATGAACAATCTGATTTGTTATCAAATTTCGAATGGACCCAACTCCATTCAATATAATTTAAGATGCTTCAAATTGAAAAAAAAACAATACTCAATTTATTTGACATATCTTTAACCCTTAAARTGCACATGGGGTGTTTGACACCCCAACAAATTTTTGATCTCTCGAAAACGGTACTGAATTCGAAAAAATGGGTTATTTGTCGCCATCTAGTGTTAATTCAGATGGGTATAAAACCTATACTATTTTAAAAAAGATGTATCAAATTACTTTTAACAAAATTGCGAGGTCTAAATATTAAATAGCGGCTTCAGGAGACGCGTTCAAACACGTTGAGGTGTCAAACACCCACAGGGCACATTAACTAACTTTTACCAAATGTGTACTTTAAGGGTTAAAACACTTCAGAAACATAATTTATGCGATTGAAAACATTTTTTAACTACATAACGTACAAAATTACAAACATTATCTACAAAACAATTTACTACTCATCTACATTTTGTGTGTGTGAAAGGGATTTGAAGAAATCATGATGTTCCAGGTGGTATACATCGTAATAGGTCAATTATGTTCTTGAATTTTGCTGTTGCAATTTGTCTGATATTTTTATACAGTGATGTCAATACAATATTTTCGAACTGTCTTGGTCAACCCTGACGTGGTAATTAATTCAGGACTTTCAAATTTTCATTCTCATTCATTGATGTCTTATAGAAAATTTTGATACGGTTTCATTTCTAACAAAACAGCATCCAATATATTTTTAACCAATTTATTGATTCTTCATCAGAATTCTTAACCCTTTTCAAAATTGCGTTCTTCTAATAATTTTGTTAATACAAAATCTTCTTGTCTCATTTTAATTACAATAAAGTATTATCGTATTTACTTAGAATGTAAGCAACCTCAAATGCTTTATTGATACATAACATAAAGTTGTACAATAATCAGGTGCAACAGGAAAATAATACTTAACAAATGGAGTTGGGCCACTTTGAAAATAAACTTTTCATCATTCTGTTATTTAACAGATGTTCTTGTTATAAAATCTTCATGATTTGAAATATATTTGTAACAAATTGCTTTGGAATGAAAAAATCATGTAAAAATGTAACTAATAGTTAGTTAAGTAGCATTTACATAAGAAATTATTTTATATTGACCGTATCAAAATGCAATTAATAATTGAATATAAAATGTAATGAAATTTTTTCAGAAATTTGGTTATTGTCCAATGATACCATTCAGACCAGTAATCGAACCAGATCATCCAAATGCATTTATTACGAAAGATCCTACAATTGTAACAAAAAATGGAGATATGCTTGACATTCCATGGATGACAGGTATTACTTCAGAAGAAGGATCACTCAGAGTACCATGTAAGTATAATAATAAATAATGCTTTTAAAACACGTTCCGTGCCAAGCTCTTTTTATCTAACTTGTCATTCAGGCCATTTAATTTTCTTTTAACAAAATCAACCATTACATGTAATTATTAATTATTGTAACTATAACAATTGAACAAACTTATGTGCTTTATTTTATATTATACTTATAATATTTCAATAGGAATATTTTTGTACACAATTGAAATTTGTTCTAAACATATATTTTCAGTGCATTAAATAAATATGTATAATGGTAAGTGTACCGCCGGTGGTACACGTGGCACGGAACGTGTTAACAAACAAAAAAAACCATGACGGAAGTATAGACTTTTTTGTTTTGTTTATTTCTTTAAATATAATATAAAAATTACATTAGAAAACTTAGAAATCCTTCGAAATGTGAACGAGATCGTAAAATTGTATTTTTTTTTCTTCTACAAAGAAAAGAAAAGAAAAGAAAAAAAAAAGAAAAGAAAAGAAAAGAATTAACCAAGGATTTCTCGGAAGGATTTTATTGAAGCATAAAATAATAATTAATTGATTTCAGCATTATATACTAAGTCCAAGGGCGAACAGATCAAAAAAATGAACGATGAGTTTGCGAACGTTGCACCGTTGACATTGCTGCATGGTGAAACATGTCCCGATCATTTACACGATCAAATAAGTCTAGCTATACGGGAATTTTATTTCCAGGGAAATCCTATCGATAATTCAACTCGTAAGCAAGTTGTTGACGTAAGTAATATTAATTCATATCTAATATACATTTATATTCAATTTGTTTTATATCATTTGCAAAAAATAATACACCAATTAATAGCAATCGTTGAAAAACTTGATCGACAAATTGAATCGCATGGTTGAAGAATTAACAAAAAAATATATGAAAAAAAAAAACAAAAACAACTCAATAAACGTTTTAACAATTCAATGACACTTATAGTATATGCAATTATTAAGTTAACTTAATTTCGTAGCAGGAATCAATTGTTTATCGAATTTTAATATATTAACGTTTAAACGTTAAATAATGTATGATAATTGAAGAATCGAATGAATAACCATAATTATATTGAAAGAGGAAAATAATTTAAAAAAATTTTTTTTTTTATTTACTATTATAAATTAGAGAAGATTATATTTGGTGCCTTGGGTATAATTTAAAATGATAACGAGTATGTTAATTAAATTTACATCGAGAAGACGCAATATATTGCTGTGTCATATAAATTTTCCGATATTTTTCAATTTTTCTCTTATCCCGGATAATTTTCATTTTTTCTCAGAATTATATTACACAAAACAAGCATATATATAGATATACATACGTAAAGGAAAAGAAAAATCTGCGTAATACGTATTATAAATCCGATTTCAGGGCCGCACGTGTTTATCGTTAAATGGATTACAGTAATCATTTTTTCTTTTTCTTTTTTCTTTTTTGTTTCCATTCAATCAAGTAAGTCTATTCAATCATTTTAATGACGAGTGAAAAAAATAAATAAATATTTTATTATATTTATTGTACGTTTTGTTATCATGAGTAATTATTAATACGTAGTATTAGATCTCTCATATTTTAAAAATATCCCAACTTTTGTTTACATTAATTATATATATATATATATATATATATATACAAAATTATAAAAAATAATTTGTATTAAATAACCTATTACTTATTAGATTACTAAATTGATATAATTAATTTCTAGTCAATATTTATAATAAAATATTTGTGTATTATTTCATATTAATATTTAAATTCACTCCTTAAAGTATGCAACCCGTAATACAGCTGTAAATTTATCACAAAACTGAATATGCAAGTTTCGTACAGTATGCAACTTCTGATACAGCTATGCATTTATTATAAATACCGAATATTAATATTATTTAAATAAAAGTTATAGAAATTTATATAAATAAAAGTAATATTAATTTTGAATTTAAAATAACGTAAAAAAAATAATAATATAAATCACGGGAGGTTGTGTGTTTGGATTAAATGTTAAAAACCTATTTAAGTAAATCGTCGTAAAAATTTTGTATAAGAATATAAATTAGGATGATGATAAATTTGAGTAATCCCACCCCCAGCCCCTTGAAGTATGCAACCCGTAATACAGCAGTGAATTTATTACAAATAAAATATGCAAAATTATATTAAAAAATTAAAAAATAATATAAAAAAAAAATAAATTATGATAAATTTGAATAATAGATAATTAAATATATTATTAATTATTGTCTTTTTGTTTTATTTTATTCAGATGTACAGCGATGCCTGGTTCAATCACGGTGCACGTACCGCCATTCGTGATTATTTCAAAACGCAATCATCTCCTATTTATTTTTATTACTTTGCATACAAAGGTAGTGCCTCGTTCAGCAAAATATTCGGAGATGATAGCGCAGATTATGGTGTTTCTCATGCCGATGATTTGCATTATCTCTTTCCGGTTGGTGAACAATTATTTAAGGAAACTCCTCCGAGTAAAGAGGATCACAAAATGATTGACATTATGACATCACTGTGGTTTAATTTCGCTAAGACTGGGTAATTATTATTTTTATTATTATTATCATTATTATTATTACAGATTAACATGTTGATTGCCACGTCAGTCATTAATGACTGACACTTAAGTTCCCGTTCAGGTCATGTCAGACTTCGATGACTGACACTCAACTTTTACACACTCAACTCAGACACTCAACTTTTACACGCTCAACTCAGACACTCAACTTTTACACAGTCAACTCAGACACTCAGCTTTTACACACTCAACTTTTACACACTCAACTTTTACACAGTCAACATTTACACACTCAACTCAGACACTCAACATTTACACACTCAACTCAGACACTCAACTTTTACACAGTCAACTCAGACACTCAGCTTTTACACACTCAACTTTTACACACTCAACTTTTACACAGTCAACATTTACACACTCAACTTTTACACACTCAACATTTACACACTCAACTTTTACACACTCAACATTTACACACTCAACATTTACACACTCAACTTTTACACACTCAACATTTACACACTCAACTTTTACACACTCAACATTTACACACTCAACTTTTACACACTCAACTTTTACACAGTCAACTTTTACACACTCAACATTTACACACTCAACTTTTACACACTCAACATTTACACACTCAACTTTTACACACTCAACTTTTACACATTCAACTCTGACAGTAAGCTTCTACACACTCAACTTTTACACACTCAGCTTTTACACACTCAACTTAGACACTCAACTTTTACACACTCAACTCAGAGACTCAACATGGCCTGACGAAGATTTCCGTAAGAATTAGCGTGGCGCTCAGCGTGTTAATTTTGTTTACAAATTGTATTTAGTTCAATGATTTTATTTAATATTATTATTATTTTTTCCTTTTATCTTTTATTTATTTTTTAGTAACCCAACACCAGAGGTAACAAAAATCATAACAGAAAAATGGAAACCGGTGAGAACGGAAGCTTTAGAATATTATTATATAAATAATACGAAATTATCAATGTCTCGTGATCTGCATCCTGAGAGAAGACAATTTTGGGACAATTTGCCGTCATGTATTAATCAAAATAAGACGAACGAGATGCATTTTACTATAAAAGAAGAATTATAAAACTATATCAATTATTATTTTCATATTTGATATGAAAACAAAACAAAAAAGAAAACCAATAATTTTTACACGAAGGTGCTCTGCATTCTTCCGAATGGTTTCCAAACGTTAATTATAAAAAGAAACGTGTTGGTTGTTAAGTAATTAAAACGACTGAAGTAATTAAGTTAATTATTATAAATAATGCGATTTTATTTAGAAAAAAAAATACAATCGGTAGGTGTAAAGTAGAATTAAAAAAAATATCTTAAAATAAGATATTGTTTTGTGTAAATGTGTAAATTAGAAAATTGGTCAGGTTGGTATTACGGGTTGCATTTGACCCCCACTGAGCTTCTTGCAATTGTGCAAGTGAAAAGCTTTGTTGTTTTGATTAGTAAAAAAACAAAACAAAACAAAATCAATTCTATTAATAATTTAAAGTTTACTTTATAGGATGAAATTAATTGTTGTAATAATTGTGAGGGAAAATATTATTATTGATGAATAATATTATTCTTACCTAACCTAAAAATCAATTATTGTCGTTTAGACGTTAATTGTCGTAAAGGGTAGTGTCGATAATTTGATAGATAAATCCATACAAGCCAATGAATTATTTCCATCGATTGAATTTTCGAATGATTTTGATTCATCATTAATTTATTTATTATTCTTTAAAACTACTCTTTTCCATTACACTTTTTCTTTAATCAATATTAAAAATCTTTAAATATCTCTGTGCATCGCGCGAGAACTCATGTAGTCTTATATAACCTTAAAATCGTATTATCATCATCATAATCACTATTTTCGCCTAATTAATATTTTCTCTCTTTATATATATATTTGGAGAAGGTGAGGTCTCCAATAGAGCGAAGGTCAGTGTCGATTATCAAGAGTAAGCCGTTAGGTATGCCAGGTCAAATATCAGTCTTTATTGTATCTCTCTACAGTAAGTTAATTTCTTTAGTCTCGTCGCTTTCTCAGTCGGATTCGTACTGAACGTCGTTCGGTTAAATTCGGCCCGGGGGGATCGGGCCCCCGGCGCGGTGCCCGTCTCGGACGACCGCGGCGTTGCTGAGCGCGCACCGCCACATATATATATATATATAAGTAATCATCGTTTGTTAAATCTTAAACTATTCCTGTTGTTTATAATGTATAATTGTAAATTAATATTGTAATGCTCGAAAAAGAGGGGATAAGTGCAATCTCTTAGCGAGAGTAAGGTCTTTGTGTTTTTTTGTTCATTTGTAAACAGTTGCATCTCTCAATAAGAGACCCACTCTACCCCTGTCGAGGAAAATTCAATGTTTATTCGTTGGTATCTTTTTTGTTTGTTATATATGTGTTTTACAGCGACTGCTAAAGCCAGCATTCGATTATTGTTTGTTGTAAATTGTTGTTCTTGTTGTCGGTTGCAGTTAATTTTTTATTAATTCTATTTTATTCTTTTTAAATCCTCCATAACATCGAGGTTACTGATTTGGCGATAGTTGTTAAGGTGATGAAGGCTGTTGTTGACTTGATGATGGTGCTGACATGTTAGTTTGTACTTGGGAAGGAGTTGATGTTTGATTATTTGTAAAGTTGGTGGCTGTGTTTATGCTGTAGAGGTACATGCATATTCTGCTGTTAGATATTCGGGAGACAAAGCGAATTGTTTGGGGCCCAAGGATGTTTCCAACGGTAGTTGCGTAATCTTGGATAGTTCCACCTTCCATTGCCTCAATTATGATGTCCTGGTCTTGTCCTGGGAACATGTTAATTGCTGCTGCGTTGGCGTTTGTCTTGTTCCAGTGAAGCAATTTTAACGCTTGCTCCGGAAAACCTGAAGGTATTCCTAATATGTGATCCCTTAGTGTCTATTAGGTATGTAAAGGAACGTTGTCTACTGGGAATCCCCAGAAGGTACGGCTGAGGACAGTAGGTTGCTTGTATATGTGTATAGTGTTGGTCCATCCGGAAACATCATCGTTTGAGGCTGCAGACACCATAATTTATTATTGATATATTTTCTTGATGTTTTCAATGATTATCAATAAGTAAAATAACTTACCGCCATAGCTTCTAAATCATTTTCGTAACTTTGGCGCAATTTGCTAGAGATCATTGACTCTGCTTTGCTCATATTATTAATTGTTCCCTTTACTGTGATTATCCATTTTAAATTGAAGCTATTAATATCCTTGATATTGCTAACAGTGATCTTAGATTTAGTATCTTGCAGAATTCTTTTAATCGTATTACCACCCTTGCCAATAATACGTCCGATTAAATTATTGTGTGCTAGAAATTTTAACGTAATATCTCTGTGGATATAATGAATAAAATCAAATGTTTATCCCTCATTTATAGGAATACAATGAAAATTTATCAAATATCATATCAATCAAGTTTACCCTTTGTTTGCTTGTTTCTTGTTGCCTGACCTCAAGAATCTTTTTGCACGCGTTTGTGCAATTCTTTGGTTTAGCATAAATTGTAATGGCTTTTTCAACGCATCCAACGTTATCTTTCCGGTGAACATCGACGCTTGCTCTAGACGATTGCGTGATGTGACGAATCGTGGACCCCTGTCGTCCGATTGCTCCGACCATATCGGACTGCACTAATATCCGTAGCGGGAAATCTGTTTGTCTTCCAGATACCGGCGCTCCAGAAAACGCTACTCTGGTGTGCTGATTTCGTATTCTTCGTCTGGTTTCTGCCGAAGGCATTTCTACCTTTAATAAGTTCCTTTCGCTCTCGTATCCATTTAACTGTGTTACAGCCCTATTTAAATTAAAAAAAATAAATAAGTGATACGTTTTAAACCTGATATTTTTTATATTAGAACATTAACAATTTGTTTCAACATTGAAGTAAATTTAACCCTTTGTGGACGATAACTTTTTCAATCAGTTTAGGTACCAGGACGAGGTGATTTTTGCCAATTATGTCGAGTGTCTTTACRCATGTATATAAAATATGGCAAATAAAAACTAAGAAATCCTCTTCCAAGTACCAATAGTTCATTTTCTTTAGTTAGAATTAACAAAATAAAGCATAAAACATTATCTTTTCGATGTACATCGACCCTTGCCTTAGAAGATTGTGTCATCTGACGAATCTTAATGGCATAAAGAAAAAAATTATAAAAAATAATTCGCATTGTATTAACTATTATTTATTGTATTAGTATAATTATATATTTATTTATTTCATATTAATATTTAAACTCCCTCCCCCCTTAAAGTATGCAACCCGTAATACAGCCGTGAATTTATTGCAAAATTAAATATGCAAGTTTCAAATAGTATGCAACTTCTGGAACAGCTATGCATTTATTATAAATACCGACTATTAATTATTTAACAAACTATTATTTATCAAATAAAAAAAAATAATATAAATTTATATAAATAAAAGTAATAATAATTTTGAAATTAAAATGCACGTAACGCCATTCGTGATTATTTCGAAATCCAATGTCATTTCCTATTTAATTTTATTAACATACTTTGCATACAAAGGTAGTGTCTCGTTTAGTAGCTTGACCCACATTGAGCTTCTTGCAATTCTGAAAATTAAAAGCCTTAGGATGAAATTAATTGTTGTAATAATTGCGAGGAAAATATTATGATTGATGAATAATATTATTCTTACCATATAGACTCAATCATTTTCGTTTATATTTGGTGCGAGAAGAAGTTTGTTTTTTATTATTAAAAATTTGTTTAGGCGTTAATTGTCGTAAAGGTAGTGTCGATAATTTAATAAATAAAGCCATACAAGCCAATGAATTATTTCCATCGGTAGAACTTTCAAATGGAATTTCGAATGATTTCGATTCGTCGTTGTACATTTGAAAATCTTTATATTTTACTTCGGCTAATAATGTAAATCCTAATTTACGTGCTTTATTTGTAATAAATTAAAAATGAAACAAATTATAATTAATATAAAAAAAAAAATATATATATATATTATATTGATTGACATTTATTGACAAATGAATCCATTAATAATTATTACCAATAATTTGTGTTATCGTTGAACTAAATCCTCCTATACAAGCTGGTGCTAAAAGATTTCTTGCTAGATCGATGCAACAACTTATTAATGCAGTTCCAATACCTTTATTTCGATTATCCTTGTTTACGTATAACAAATGTATGCGAAAAAATTGTTCAATTTGTAATCGATCATAAGGACGTGCTTTTGAAAAAACACAACTTTTCATGCTCATAATATTAAAAATCGCATCACCTTGATGTAACTGCAAAGAACAAAATAAAAGAAAGATTAAAATTGTAATAGGATAGAAATTTAATCAAAATCTTCTGATAAAAATAAATTGTTAAAATTAACGCAAAATAGAAATAATTTTGTAACGTATATTTTGATGATTATAAAAAAAAAAAAAAATATAACTATATATAATATATTTGGTATTGCGTTTATTATAAAAATGAAAACAATTTTAATGCAGCAATTTTATTATGCTCATTTAATAAATTATATTCTATTTTTTTTTTTTATATAACAACATAAATAAAATAATATTATAACAAAAATTATTATAAACAAAAGAAAAAATATAACCCAGACAAATATATGATCTACTTTTACTCGTGTTTCCGATCGTACGTGATCTCCCATGAAATTTATCGAAGCAATTGCAACACCTACGATCTTATTGTCACCTTCTTTAATTGCACAACAACTTTGCATGTCCAATAATTTTTTATATATTATTTTCATCGAAGTTTTTAACGATCTCGTATCATTCGACAAATCTATAGCTTTGCACATTGGTTCCTCTTCGAAAAAACCGTCATCCTTTATATCGTTAAACATTATTTAAATAAATGTTGAAGAAAAAAAAAAAAAGAGAGAAAACAGATCAATTTCAATAAATTATAAATGTATAAATAATTTGTTCTCTTTATAAATAAATGAGCCGTTTATTTTGAAAGTGGCCTAACTCCAATTGTCAATTATTATTTTCCGATTGCACCTGGTTATTGTACAACTTCATGTTATGTATTAGTAAAGCATTTGAGATTACTTATATTGTTATGACCAAAGGACTCTTCAATGAAAATTCCTCTGATCATTGATTGTATGCTATGAAGTGGAGAATAAGGGATTAGGTTAAAGTGTAAAATAAAACACGTGATTGAGCCAAACAAAGAAACAATGCCTTTTTTTATTGGCTCGTCAGGGAAAAGCCTTGCGGCATAAAAACCCTGGATGTGGTTTAATTATAAAAATGAGAGTCCACCACGTGGTATTACCACGCGGGAAAATACCGTCAATATAAAATGTATATAATGGAAAGATCTCACCTCTCGCTCACTTACGTTCCTTAACTAACTTTACTTAATTCCTTTGATTTCGATGTATATTCACAGGCTTCCGATAATGGACTGCAGTGATCCCAGAAACTTTAGCTTGTCTGATCGACACAGTACCGTAAAATTATCGGGTTTTCAGTAAAATTATCGTACTGTTACGCGGAAATGTTCGCGTGAGGTTAAATTCGCGTTGATTACCGCATAACGTAAAAATTCGGCCTATTGAATTCTTGTAATTGTATTAACAACAAGGATTTCCAAGTTTTGGAAAGAATAACTTTTATTTAAGACAGATTTTACGTTCGGATACATACCACTTACAATCGTAACGGTCAGGATAGAAGAGAGTTTCGGATGTCGAGGGAGCCTCTTTTAAGGGAAATCTGAACAAGAAATGTTCTAGAAGAAGGGTGTTCTTTCATGGGTTAAGGGTTTCTTATTGGTGTTCCAACGGAGCAGTGGGAGAATTGCCTAAAATTCCACATTTTATGTTCGGAGTGAAAAATATAAATGGAAATTCCTTAGATCGGTATGCAGCGCAGGTATAGATTTTATCTATTAGGCCTGGCAGGTTTAAACAGGTTTTCCAGGAGATTAAAAGAATACTCCTAAGCAGGTATTATAGTTCATGTTGGACCTAACAGTACGCACAAAAAAATCAGATCCGATTTTCTGAAATTCCAGATTTCTTTGGATTCTAATATTGCAAAAAAAAAGTAAAAATGTATATCTTAGCAAACTTGATACCCTTTTTTTTTCTTTTTTTCTTTTTTTAGTCTTTGGTTCGTTGTATTCGTCCTTTTTTCGCTTTTTTCTCCTTTTTATCGTCTTTTTTCCTAGCTATCTGACTATATCTGACTATTGTATGACTATGTGGCTAAGAAACA